TACAGCAGCATAATGACCATATAAACCGGTCAACCATGTTTCCCCTCACCAAGAAAAAAGTCAGTGGCATGCAAACTTTTGCTGGTTGCTGTTGTTACCAATGACAAAGTGGAAGACCACAGAGACGACGCTGAAGAAGAAGTTTGTAGCAATTGATTATTATCTACAAGCATACATGGAACTACCGAATCATACTGCCAAGAGTGAGAATAAATTTTTAATTTATGATCAGGGGTTTAAAAGAAGAGGTAGATAATTTGCATATTTACTCAAGACGTGGATTCTTTAAAGAACATTTTTTCAAAGCTCTGTACATAGCGTGGATTTTTTAAAGAATATTTTTTCAAGGCTCTATACAAGACGTGGATTTTTTAAAGAATATTTTTTCAAGGCTCCTAAGACGTGGATACAAGGCGTGGATTTTTTAAACAATATTTTTTCAAGGCTCCTATAACGTGGATACAAGGCGTGGATTTTTTAAAGAATATTTTTTCAAGGCTCCTAAGACGTGGATACAAGGCGTGGATTTCTTAAAGAATATTTTTTCAAGGCTCCTAAGACGTGGATACAAGGCGTGGATTTCTTAAAGAATATTTTTTCAAGGCTCATAAGACGTGGATACAAGGCGTGGATTTCTTAAAGAATATTTTTTCAAGGCTCATAAGACGTGGATACAAGGCGTGGATTTCTTAAAGAATATTTTTTCAAGGCTCATAAGACGTGGATACAAGGCGTGGATTTCTTAAAGAATATTTTTCAAGGCTCATAAGACGTGGATACAAGGCGTGGATTTCTTAAAGAATATTTTTTCAAGGCTCCTAAGACGTGGATTTTTTAAAGAATATTTTTTCAAGGCTCCTAAGACGTGGATTTTTTAAAGAATATTTTTTCAAGGCTCCTAAGACGTGGATTTTTTAAAGAATATTTTTTCAAGGCTCCTAAGACGTGGATTTTTTAAAGAATATTTTTTCAAGGCTCCTAAGACGTGGATTTTTTAAAGAATATTTTTTCAAGGCTCCTAAGACGTGGATTTTTTAAAGAATATTTTTTCAAGGCTCCTAAGACGTGGATTTTTTAAAGAATATTTTTTCAAGGCTCCTAAGACGTGGATTTTTTAAAGAATATTTTTTCAAGGCTCCTAAGACGTGGATTTTTTAAAGAATATTTTTTCAAGGCTCCTAAGACGTGGATTTTTTAAAGAATATTTTTCAAGGCTCCTAAGACGTGGATTTTTTAAAGAATATTTTTTCAAGGCTCCTAAGACGTGGATTTTTTAAAGAATATTTTTTCAAGGTTCCTAAGAAAATAGTTTTAGCCCCACCGTCGGAAAATTTCGTCTCCATGAAGAAACATACGACAACGGCATGAGGTTGATTGACTTCGCGTCACCAAAAAACATGGTTGTTAGAAGCACCAGATTCAAGCATATCGATATACATAAGGCATCCTGGATTTCTTCCCATCGAACAGCGAGAAATCAAATCGATCGTTTTGTGATGGACGGAAGGCATTCATCCAGTATTTTAGACGTTCGACCGAGGAGCGAATATGGAGCTGGAACGGTACCTTGTAGCAGCCAAGGTTCACCCTCGTCTTAATTTAGCAGCAAAGGTGCGGCAGAAAAGGAGAGATTAGAAACGCATTTTCAGAAAAAAGAAGAAAGAACGTGAGAGTGAGCAAATCGAGATTTACAGGAGTCAGAATGAAGTCCGGAAATTTTACCAACGAGTAAAACAACAAACCGAAGGTTTTTGACGCAGGCACATCCTCCTGTAGAGATGAAGAAGGAAACCCGGTGACAGATACAGACAGCGTCTTGAGGATCTGGAAGGAGCTTTTTGAAAAACTTCTGGTATCAAATAGTAGCGGTGAAGAGGATACCCCAGAACCAATAATAGATGGCGGTATAGAGTGTATATCACCTAGCCAAGATGAGGTTAGAATATCATTCAATCGGCAGGAACCGATTGGTTACCAGCCGATCTATTCAAGACTGGTTATTGGATGCTGGTCTGGATCATGCACCAGCTGATAAGTACAATGTGGCTAGAGGAATGAATGCCCAATGATTGGAACCTCAGCATCCTGTGTCCCGTGCACAAAAAATGACACCAGACGATATGTGCCAACTATAGATGAATTAGTTTTCTTCTCATCGCATACAAAGTACTATCCAGTGTGCTGTGTGAACGACTGAAACCAATGGTCAATGACATTATTAGACCATACCAATACTGCTTCAGACCTGGCAAATCCACCGTTGACCAGATTTTCACTCTGCGTCAAATCCTGGAAAAGACCAACGAAAAACACATCGATACATTCCACCTAATCGTCCACATTCGACATCCCTATCCTTTCAGAGGTATTTAAAGTCATGGCTGCGTTCGGTATTCCTGCAAAATGAATACGACTATGCAGTATAACTTTAAGTGGCACAAGGTCAGCAGTTAAAGTCGGAAAGGACCTCTCGGAGCCCTTTAAGACCGAACGAGGATTCAGACGAGGTGATAGTTTGTCGTGTGACCTTTTTAACATCCTGCTGGAAAAGGTCATACGAAACGTAAAGGTGAACAGAAATGACCCTCTGTACACCACATGTTACTCGCCTACGCCGATGACATCGATATAATGGGTCGAACATTGAGAGCGGTAACAGCTACCTTTAAACAAATTGAGAAGTAGTCTGCCAAAGTGGGTCTGGCAATAAACGGCAAGAAGATCAAGCTGATGGAATCAACTTGAGAACTATAGCTTCGATGTAATTAAAGATTATATATACCTTGGTACCGCCATATATAAAACTAATGACATCAGTTTTGCAATTCGGAGAAGGATTGTGATGGCCAACAGATGCTATAGTCTAAGTAAGCAGTTTAAAAGCAAGGCCACCTCCCGCCAGACCAAACTCACACTTTACAAGACGCTGATACTACCTCTGTTGTTATATGGATCTGAAGCATGGGTACTTGCGCAAGCAGATGAGACAGCTCTTGCGATGTTTGAGAGAAAAATTATCCGAAAGATCTACGGGCCGATGGTGACATATCGGCGTTGAATGAACTAAGAGGCGTGGATTTTTTAAAGAATATTTTTCCAAGGGCCTATACAAGGCGTTGATTTTAGGGCCTATAAGAGGCGTGGATTTTTTTAAGAATATTTTTCCAAGGGCCTATAAGAGGCGTGGATTTTTTTAAGAATATTTTTTCAAGGGCCTATAAGAGGCGTGGATTTTTTAAAGAATATTTTTTCAAGGGCCTATAAGAGGCGTGGATTTTTTAAAGAATATTTTTCCAAGGGCCTATAAGAGGCGTGGATTTTTTAAAGAATATTTTTCCAAGGGCCTATAAGAGGCGTGGATTTTTTAAAGAATATTTTTCCAAGGGCCTATAAGAGGCGTGGATTTTTTAAAGAATATTTTTCCAAGGGCCTATAAGAGGCGTGGATTTTTTAAAGAATATTTTTCCAAGGGCCTATAAGGGGCCTATAAGGGCGTGGATTTTTTAAAGAATATTTTTCCAAGGGCCTATAATAGGCGTGGATTTTTTAAAGAATATTTTTCCAAGGGCCTGGATTTTTTAAAGAATATTTTTCCAAGGGCCTATAAGAGGCGTGGATTTTTTAAAGAATATTTTTCCAAGGGCCTGGATTTTTTAAAGAATATTTTTCCAAGGGCCTATAAGAGGCGTGGATTTTTTAAAGAATATTTTTCCAAGGGCCTATAAGAGGCGTTGATTTTTTTATGAGGTCATACCCCCTAAAAATAAAAATCACCACATCCATCATAAAAAACAAATAATAAAATGTTTATTTATTTTTTTTTTTTTGTTTTGTTGTCAACAAAATAAGTTTTTTTTAACAAACATTCATACAAAATTAAATAAATACAATAAAACAAGTCTACATTAAATTTATATATCATTTTTGTTGCTGTTGTTGTTGTGTCTTGTTGTATTTTTTGGCTTTGATAAGTTTATTTATTTTTTAAACTATAACTAATTCCTCGATCCTTGAATATTTTTTTCAATAAGACATCTAAACTAAAGTAAATGTAGTGGTTGTTGTTTTTGTATTTTTGTTTCATGGTTGCAACATCACCAGCACGGTTCGGCTGTCCAGCTGTCTGTCTCTAGTTATTACTATTTCAACAAAATAAACGCAGTTGTTGTTTTTGTAAATGTATATAGTATTGTTTGTTGTTGTTGTAAATAATAACATTTTTCCTAATTTTTTTATTCGTTACTATCAACACTCACTTTGTTGTTGCTGTTGTTCTTTGAAATGTCATCATAAGTATTTGTTGTAATTTTAATTGTAATTTTTTTCTTTTTCAGTGATTGCAGAACTTTTTTCTAATTTTAAAATTCACTTTTTTATAATTTTTGTTGTAATTTTTTAAATCTATTTTTTGGTAAAATTATTTGGCATATTTATTGGTTTCCTAAGTAACAGTTTTGTTTACAACATGCAACAATTTTTTGTTTTTCTATTTCACTGAATCTATTTTCCAATTTTTGGTTCAATGTGCGTGTGGGTGCTTAGGAAGATATCGCCGATCATTTTTTTTCTTGCACGAACATATCTAGCAAATTCTGGGAAGAATTCTCCCACCCGTAGTTTATTTCTTCCTCCTTATGGGGCTGGCGTCTAAATGATATTTTCTTAATTTTTTTTCTTTTTGATGATGTGAAAATTTTTTCTTGACGATGATCGCGTTATGAAAATTAGAGCAACAGTTGGATTTTTTTTATTTTGGTGCTGCATTTTTTCCCTAAGTGCTCCGTGTAGATGTAACATTTATTGGACTCAGGGAGGAGTAGGAATGGAAACGAGGTTGATTGCTGCATTACATTTCTATATTACGTCTATTTACATCGAGATTTATTTTAGTTCTTGTTGTTGTTGTTGTTGTGATGATGTGACAGGACGTGGTGACGGTGTGGTGTGATGTGTTGCTGAGAAACGAATTTCAAAAAATTAAAAGACGTTGTGATTTATTCCATGAAATAACTAAAACTTCGACGTTTCCTTCTTGTGCTGTGCATAGATGATTTATTGTTAATAGTTTTCAACCTTAGTTACCCAGATTTGATCCAACGATCTATCGAATATTCAAGAGCTGATATCCATCTGAAAAAAATAAAATAAAGAAATAATATATTATAAATAATTTTAAAACATATTCTTTTAAAAATCCACGCCTTGTATAGAGCCTTGAAAAAATATTCTTAAAAAAACACGCCTTGTATAGAGCCTTGAAAAAATATTCTTAAAAAAACACGCCTTGTATAGAGCCTTGAAAAAATTTTCTTAAAAAAAATACACGCCTTGTATAGAGCCTTGAACAATTTTTCTTAAAAAAAAATACACGCCTTGTATAGAGCCTTGAAAAATTTTTCTTAAAAAAAATACACGCCTTGTATAGAGCCTTGAAAATTTTTTCTTAAAAAAAAATACACGCCTTGTATAGAGCCTTGAAAAAATATGCTTTAAAAAATCCACGCCTTGTTTAGAGCCTTGAAAAAATATTCTTTAAAAAATCCACGCCTTGTATAGAGCCTTGAAAAAATATTCTTTAAAAAATCCACGCCTTGTATAGGGCCTGGAAAAAATTCTTTAAAAAATCCACGCCTAGTATAGAGCCTTGAAAAAATATTCTTTAAAAAAATCCACGGCTTGTATAGATCCTTGAAAAAATATTCTTTAAAAATCTACGCCTTTTTGACAGCTCTGCTGCCCTTAACACATATTTTTCATATTCCTAGGCAAAAGAATAATAAAAATCTACCCTTGTCGTTCGGTTAGTTATTTATTTCTAATTTTTCTTACCTCTTTTTCTCCATTTCAGATTCCGTGTAAAAATAGTAGTGTCTCAATTTCGGTTCAGGTGGTATAATTTCAAAGGAATATTTTTTGCCCGATGCAGCAGCTGACATTGATGATACCTTGTAGCCATGGAGGCAAACCATACCTGTAAGTAGAACATATTTTAAATGAATATCCACACCTATTTCAAATTTTAGCAACAAAAATACAAACCCAAAGCAGATTTGGAAATACCGTCCTGAAAGAAATACAAACAGGCATCTTTCAGGACACAATAACGCTTCGACCAACCACACCACTTGGAGCCCAATTTCATCAGATAGCCAAAGCAATCGGGACGTTGTATATTGCTGGGTTGTTTATATAGATTGCGGGCACTATAATAAAAAAATAAATTTTATTTTCGAAACTGTTCCGATGATTTTTATTAGAAAATCTTACCTCTTATCCAACCATGCATTCTCCTGGGCCACGGCCTTTTTCAAAATATTCACCCAACGATTCGTTATCTCTTCATTATCACCGGCTACATACATGGGTATGCCCTCACCCGAATCTATTTTAAATGCATGTGGTCTACCGACTTTGGCGTTGCAGGGTTCTACGGTGTGCTTGGCCATAATCATAGCTCCAACGGGTTGGGTGTCCTGCAAGGGAAAAAAAAAATATTTTTTTATAAAAAGCCAAAAGTAAATTAAAAAAGTGTGTCCAAGAAAAACTATTTAAAAAAACCACGCCACTATAGGCATGGAAAAAAATATTTAAAAAAAACCACACCCCTTATAGGCCTTGAAAAAATATTAAAAAACACGCCCTTGAAAAAATTATTTAAAAACTCAAGCTTTCCTCCTCCAAAAAATATTTTTAAAAAATCCATCATCGTCAAAGGGTCCTCAAACAAACCCCTTGATTTTTTATTCCATTTTTGTTCCTTGAAAAAGAAAATGTTTGTAAATATCCACACGTCTAATCCATTTAATACAAATCTGTCGAAATACTTAATTTAAATACCGATTAATCCGCCTTGTTTTATTTTTAGAAAAATAAAAGGAGACTTAAATTTATCGAATATTCGTTCGTGCATTACTTCATTCACGTATCCATTCATCCGGCCGTTAAATCTGAGTAGAGGTCTAAAGGTTCTCCCCAAAAATTATTTAAAGAATCCACGTCTAGAGGTCTAAAGGTTCTCCCCAAAAATTATTTAAAGAATCCACGTCTAGAGGTCTAAAGGTTCTCCCCAAAAATTATTTAAAGAATCCACGCCTAGAGGTCTAAAGGTTCTCCCCAAAAATTATCTAAAGGTTCTCCCCAAAAATTATTTAAAGAATCCACGTCTAGAGGTCTAAAGGTTCTCCCCAAAAATTATTTAAAGAATCCACGCCTAGAGGTCTAAAGGTTCTCCCCAAAAATTATCTAAAGGTTCTCCCCAAAAATTATTTAAAGAATCCACGCCTAGAGGTCTAAAGGTTCTCCCCAAAAATTATTTAAAGAATCCACGCCTAGAGGTCTAAAGGTTCTCCCCAAAAATTATTTAAAGAATCCACGCCTAGAGGTCTAAAGGTTCTCCCCAAAAATTATTTAAAGAATCCACGCCTAGAGGTCTAAAGGTTCTCCCCAAAAATTATTTAAAGAATCCACGCCTAGAGGTCTAAAGGTTCTCCCCAAAAATTATTTAAAGAATCCACGCCTAGAGGTCTAAAGGTTCTCCCCAAAAATTATTTAAAGAATCCACGCCTAGAGGTCTAAAGGTTCTCCCCAAAAATTATTTAAAGAATCCACGCCTAGAGGTCTAAAGGTTCTCCCCAAAAATTATTTAAAGAATCCACGCCTAGAGGTCTAAAGGTTCTCCCCAAAAATTATTTAAAGAATCCACGCCTAGAGGTCTAAAGGTTCTCCCCAAAAATTATTTAAAGAATCCACGCCTCGATGTCTAAAGGTTCTCCCCTAAAAATTATTTAAAGAATCCACGCCTAGAGGTCTAAAGGTTCTCCCCAAAAATTATTTAAAGAATCCACGCCTAGAGGTCTAAAGGTTCTCCCCAAAAATTATTTAAAGAATCCACGCCTAGAGGTCTAAAGGTTCTCCCCAAAAATTATTTTCTCCCCAAAAATTATTTAAAGAATCCACGCCTAGAGGTCTAAAGGTTCTCCCCAAAAATTATTTAAAGAATCCACGCCTAATGTCTAAAGGTTCTCCCCAAAAATTATTTAAAGAATCCACGCCTAGAGGTCTAAAGGTTCTCCCCAAAAATTATTTAAAGAATCCACGCCTAGAGGTCTAAAGGTTCTCCCCAACAATTATTTAAAGAATCCACGCCTAGAGGTCTAAAGGTTCTCCCCAAAAATTATTTAAAGAATCCACGCCTAGAGGTCTAAAGGTTCTCCCCAAAAATTATTTAAAGAATCCACGCCTAGAGGTCTAAAGGTTCTCCCCAAAAATTATTTAAAGAATCCACGCCTAGAGGTCTAAAGGTTCTCCCCAAAAATTATTTAAAGAATCCACGCCTAGATGTCTAAAGGTTCTACCCAAAAATTATTTAAAAAATCCACGCCTCGATGTCTAAAGGTTCTCCCCAAAAATTATTTTAAGAATCCACGCCTAGAGGTCTAAAGGTTCTCCCCAAAAATTATTTAAAGAATCCACGCCCAGAGGTCTAAAGGTTCTCGGAAAAAAATATTAAAAAAATCCACGCCTCGATGTCTAAAAGTTCTCGGAAAAATTATTTAAAATATCAACGCCTCGATGTCTAAAAGTTCTCGGAAAAAATATTTAAAATATCCACGCCTCGATGTCTAAAAGTTCTCTGAAAAATTATTTAAAATATCAACGCCTCGATGTCTAAAAGTTCTCGGAAAAAATATTTAAAATATCCACGCCTCGATGTCTAAAAGTTCTCTGAAAATTTATTTAAAATATCCACGCCCAGAGGTCTAAAGGTTCTCGGAAAAAAATATTAAAAAAATCCACGCCTCGATGTCTAAAAGTTCTCGGAAAAATTATTTAAAATATCCACGCCTCGATGTCTAAAAGTTCTCGGAAAAATTATTTAAAATATACACGCCTCGATGTCTAAAAGTTCTCGAAAAAATTATTTAAAAAATCCACGCATCGATGTCTTAAAGTTCTCGGAAAAATTATTTAAAATATCCACGCCTCGATGTCTAAAAGTTCTCGGAAAAATTATTTAAAATATCCACGCCCAGAGGTCGAAAGGTTCTCGGAAAAAAATATTAAAAAAATCCACGCCTCGATGTCTAAAAGTTCTCGGAAAAATTATTTAAAATATCCACGCCTCGATGTCTAAAAGTTCTCGGAAAAATTATTTAAAAAATCCACGCCTAGAGGTCTATTGGTCCTTGAAAAAAAAAAATATTTAAAAAATCCAGGCCTATTGTTAGTCCTCGAAAAAATATATTTTTTAAAAATCCACACCTATTGTTAGTCCACGAAAAAATATTTGTTTAAAATCTCTTCCGAACTTACCTCCTCAGTCTTGTAATAGTATAGGCAATTATCCGAACGTAAAACAAACCAACGTTGAACCCATTTCTTGGCATTTGGTGATCCCTTCGCCTGGCCACTTTGACGCCACAAATAACCACTGTAAATGACCTGTATCGGTGGCTCCTGCTGTTCATTCATGAGAACGCCCAAAGTTCGGGCAACTTCCAGTTCAAGTTTTTCACAACCATCATGGGCAATTTTCACAACTTCCGTATGATGTTTATCCAGCACCTTAACACCATTTACTGATATGATTATGTCGCCCACCTCAAGACCCGATGATTCGGCTGGTGTGTCCGGTTCAATGGCGGCCACAACAACCGGTTTCGAGCCGTGAATGCGGAAGCCGAATTCTCCGGAGTCACTTTTGACCACCACGGTTTTATCGACACCTAGATGGGGATTGGGAAAATATGTGAGATTATTTTTTTAATAATTTACAGTGGAACAAAGTTAAGAAAATTTCGTGAAAATTTTCGAAATTTTCTTTCATTTTGTTCCACTGTATCGATGATTGATAGCTAATAATAAAGAACAAAAGAAGGAAATAAAAAATTGTTTAGATACCATATTCGCCGTTTGTTATTTTTGACAAGACATGACCTTCACGGGCCCATACCAACAGCATTAATTTCAATATTTCCTCAAGACGCCGCCTCAGCGAATCTTGTGCCGAATTCGATGTTATCAATTCTAGAAGAACGTAGGTCAAGATTTTGTTAATACGAATTGTTTTTATTGTGGAATGTGGTGTGTGCGTGTGCGTTAGTGTGTGCCACATGAAATCCCATTCAGAAATGGAACACACACCCGCACATACCCACTCCCGACAAACAAAAATCGAAGGGGGAAACTTTTTATGTTTCACTTGATTACGCACCCAACATTTTTTTTTTGTTATTGTTGTCCGCTTTTCTGTGTGATCTCAAAATCCAAATTCCACCACAAGTGACAAAGTCACACAAAAGTTCACTTTCAATTTTCTATTCAATGTTTCACTTTTTTTTGTTCTGCAATGTTTTCTAAATCTAATCACCTATAGATTTATTTATTTTCAATTCAATTAAACGTTTTCCGATATAATTAAATTGCGACGCGTGTTGAGCTAAATTAACTTCAAGTCTTTTCAAATATCTTTGCAAAATCCGACTGATGACAGAAAAGTGTCTCCTGTCCGGTGTATCCCATGTGTAAGTTTGGCGATGACTAAATTTCAAATAAACCAACAGTTTTGCAAACAAATCGGATTCGCCGTCCCAGAGCACTATAAAGTTCTCAATTTTTTCTTTTTCGGTTTTTTATAATGAACGCACTTATCGGCAAATAAAAAAGTTCCACAAAAACACTAGCAGCCACTACCCCTTCCGCGACTCTCACCAACGAAAACAAATAAATAAATTACGTTACGTACTATTTGCTGCCAAAGTTTTTTGGTGTACAACAACAGGCGGACGCCGACGGACCACCACCATAGCAGAGTACTCTCTTCTACTCTGTTTGGCGGTCAATTGTACTTTGTTGTCACACAAGAGCACAGTGGGACACAAAGACAAAATAATATTTAAACACATTTCAAAAATTATCCAAACAACCGTTAATTTTTTAAAAAAAAATATTTTTTGAAAATTCCCACAAGCGTGGATTTTTTGATTTTTTGTCTTTGGTCTGCTCATATCTGTCTTCCGTCGGAGCATGTTCGCAAATAGTACTGATGTAGAAGAACTTCGCTTTTATACGGATTACCTTATTCGTAGCCTTCCCCTTTCTGCATGAACCATCAGCTGGTTCGCTTTTATATGCCTTTTGGGCTGGGGGAATTTCATCCATTTTCACAACATGACCTAGACAACGTAGTCGCTGCAGCTCAATACAATACCGATGCCCGAGAATAGCTAGTACAGCTCATGCTTCATTCGACGGCGAGATGAAAGTGAGAGTTTGGTCTGGCGGTAGGTGGCCTTGCTTTTGAGTTGTTTGCTCAGACCATAGTTGTTTGCTCAGACCTCTCGTATGACCTTCTCAAGCAGGATGTTAAAAAGGTCACACGACAAACTATCACCTCGTCTGAATCCTCGTTCGGTATTAAAGGGCTCCGAGAGGTCCTTTCCGACTTTAACTCTGATCTTGTGCCACATAAAGTTATCCTCGCCGTTTACTGTCAGACTGACTTTGGCAGACTCCTTCTCAATTTGTTCAAAGGTGGCTGTTACCGCTCTCAATGTTCGACCCATTATGTCGATGTCATCGGCGTAGATGGTGTTGTTTGGTGTACAGAGTGCCATTTCTGTTCACTTTTGCCTCTCGTATAACCTTTTCCAGCAGGATGTTAAAAAGGTCACACGACAAACTGTCACCTTGTTTGAATCCTCGTTCGGTATTAAAGGGCTCCTGGAGGTTCTTTCCGACTTTAACTGCTGATCTTGTGCCACTTAAAGTTATTCTGCATAGCCGAAATAATTTTGCAGGAATGCCAAACGCAGGCATGGCTTTATACACATCTGAACGGATAGGGCTGTCGAATGCGGCTTTATAGTCGACGAATAGGTGGAATGTGCCGATGTGTTTTTCGTGGGTTTTTTCGCAGGATTTGGCGTAGAGTGAAAATATGGTCAATTTTGCAGGAATGCCAAACGCAGACATGGTTTTATACACCTCTGAACAGATGGGGCTGTCGAATGCGGCTTTGTAGTCGACGAATAGGTGGAATGTGTCGATGTGTTTTTCGTGGGTTTTTTTTCCAGGATTTGCCAGATCTGAAGCCGCATTGATACGGTCAAATAATGTCCAATTGACCATTGTCTTCAGTCGTTTACACAGCACACTGAATATCACTTTATATGCGATGGAAAGGAAACTTATTCCTCTATAGTTGGCACATATCGTCTTGCTTCCTTTTTTGTGCACGGGAGACAGCATGCTGATGTTCCAATCGTTGGGCATGCATTCTTCTAGCCAAATTGTACTAATCAGCCGGTGCATGCTCCTTATCAGCATATGACCACCAGTCTTGAATAGTTCGGCTGGTTACTCATCGGCAACTGGTGCTTTATTATTCTTCAGCGAATTGATTGCTATTCTGACTTCATCTTGCCTAGGTGGTATACACTCTATACCGCCATATATTATTGGTTCTGGGGTATCTTCTTCACCGCCACTATTCGATACTCGAAGTTTTTAAAAATGATCCTTCCAGATCCTCAGCACGCTGTCTGTATCTGTCACCAGGTTTCCTTCTTCATCTTTACAGGAGGATGTGCCTGCACCAAAGCCTTCGGTTTGGTGTTTTACGCGTTGGTACAATTTTTAGACTTCATGCTGACTCCTGTACATTTCGATTTGCTCACGATTACGTTTATCTTGTTCTATCTTCTTTTTTTCTCAAAATACGTTTCTCCTCTCTCCTTTTCTCCCGATAGTTCTCTATCGCATTACGTGTTGCCACTGTCCGCCAGGCTGCGTTTTTAAACCTCATGCCGTTGTCGGATGTTTCCTTACGAAAGCTAAATTTTCCGACGGTGGCACCAAAAATAGTTTTCCTTCCGATTTTTGTATTAAAATCTCCTAGCAAAATTTTGATGTCATGCCCAAGGCAGCGGTCATATGTTGTTTCTAGTCGCTCATAAAATATGTCTTTGGTCTGTTCATCTTTATCTTCGGTCGGAGCATGGGCGCAAATAAGACTGATGTAGAAGAACTTCCCTTTTATGCGGATTATAGCATTTCTCTCATCTACTGGAGTGAATCTGGAGACGAGGTCTTTTATTCTCCTGTTATCCATAAATCCGCAGCCAAATTCATGTCTCGTTTCATGGCAGCTATAATACAGGGCGTAATCGTCTGATTTACTTACGCCTGTCCCTTTCCATCGCATTTCATGTAAAGCAATAATATCGGCTTTGTACTTCTTGAGTACATCCACCAAAGCGAACACTGCGCCTGTTCTGGTGCGCACATTCCAAGTGCAGATTCGCAGATCGTGGTCCTTTATACGTTTGCTGAGGTAATCAACATTAGGGGGGGTTTAGTTTTCTTTTTCTTAGCTTTTTCATGGTAGGTTGGGTTTTCGAGAGTGGGCAACTAACCCGACACCTCAACCTCAAAAAATATTAATTCAAATATTTTCCAACCCACTGTTCCTTCAATTTACTGCTGTTGAACTGTTTGTTTACAGAACGGTCAGTGCTATACTCTAGCTAATATTCCAAAATTAGAAACACGCGCCACAAATACCGGGTATCTAAACAATTTTGTTTGTTCCCTCAGAGCCCTTCTACGCACACACAACGTGGAAGTGTAGCCATGGCACAGCCATCGTCATCAACATCGAACATTTATCATCACACCAAAATGTATGAGACTGTTGTTCGTTCTACATTTTACATGGCAAAAGCATATGCGAACATCGTGTCAATGAATATCAATGAACTATGGCTGACCAAAATACAACGCGAGGAAGAGGCAGAGATGAGAAGGGTAGAGGGGAGAGGTGGGAAAACTTACCAAATGTATCATTCTTTTGACGATGATACATCTCCAAAGTGCAACGTCTCTGTACAAGGCGATGCAGTATGACTTGATATTTGGTGTAGAAGCTTTTTTCCGAATCGGTTGAGGAACGGCGACCACGACTGCGTTCTGTGGGGGAAAGGAAGCGGTGATTTCTTTATTTATAGAAATTTAAAAACAAATGTTTATTTGAATTTACCTAGGCTCTGATGATCCAATTGTGCCCATATATCCGAATCCGTTAACCTGGCGTAACGGGCACAATCATAGTGGCCAATGTAAATTGTCTGCTGCTTCGTTTCGCTGGTAATTTCTGGCAGTATACAGGGACTGGAACCGGCTGGCCGTAAAATGGGTGTTGTCTTCTTATTGCATTCCTGGTTACGTTCTTCACTCTAAAATATAAAACAAAAATTAAAAATTATTTAAAAAGGGGCATAGGGTGCACCCTTACCTTCGCCCGAATATTCTCCTTCCGTGTCTTGTAGTGACGACCCCTCTCCAAGTGATAACGTTCCTCGGAACGAAAACGTTTATCCATTTTCTTATACAAACGCTGTGGTGTTTTGTTGGTTACCGGCGAATCGGCAAAATCGGACGGTGGCTTAACAATATCCGGTTCGTTGTCTATATAGGGTAATGATTCTACCGAATCGCCACACACCACCGTGGCGTCATCAACCTCTTTGCCACAGTGTGAACAATGACCACTGTGCTGATCGGCATGATTACCATCAGCTTCACTGTAAAATACCGAATCGGAACCGGGTGAAACCGAACGATTAAGAGATTCAATGGATTTGGCTTTTAATTGACATGTTTCCGAGGCGGATTTTACATATGCAGGTGATAGCGAGGTTGGAGTCTTCGAGGAGGAAGTTATCGTTGATATTGTATCTTTCGCAGTGCGTGGTGCTGGTATGGGAATATCTTGTTCAGTCGTGGTGGCAGCGGTCACCATATGACTGGGCGTCCCCGGTGGCTTGGGAGACATTACGCTGGCATCAAGAAGCTTCTCGGCACTACCCATAATCTGCTGAGGCGACAAAGACGTTGTGTTGTTGGGTTTTCGAGTTCTCGTTGCACTTTCATCACGTGAAGATCGCCTCAGCTGGCGACGTATTTTCGGACGGAAACGTTTAAGTTTTACAGGGCTTGTTGATTCGGCCAGTGCCGAGGAAGCCTTTGGTCGTTCGGGTGATTTTTTCAGAACATCTCGTTTTATGGGACTGGTCAAAGCCCTCATATTTTCCTTTTCAATGTCGATTTTCATTGAAGTCTTACGTCGCTTACGTTCCTCTTCCTGGCGGTAACGTCTCGACTTTAGCTTTTGATACTCATCATCCTGAGGACTTTCGTAATAACCCGAGGAGGAGTAACGCACGTCACTGCGTTCATCATCTGATATGGATTCGATTTTTTTGCGGGCCAGTTCCGCCACTCTTTGGCCAAGCGGGGAGGTGCTTTCCTTCTTAGCCATAGGCATAACAACCTTTTCAATTTCCGGCGTTTTACTTTCGCCATCACCATCTCCAACCACACCCACATTATAGCTACCCGAAGAGGTACTACTAACCGAATGTGAGGGTGACTTCTTGGCAATATCTGCCTGAATGGGTGAGGGTAAATTTAATGTCAAATCTAAATGGGTTTTCGATTCTCGTCGATAATCTTCCTCGGGTTGTACCATATCTTCGGAGACCATTTCTCCTTTTGAGGAGTATAACGAAGAAGCACTCTCAAATGAAGATTCCCCGTGGGTCTTATCCATTTGGGAACTTTGAGTGGAAGCTGTAAGGGGGGAAAATATTTACGATTAATTAAATTTAATTTTTTTCAGGCTGGGGATTTCAACATCAAAGGATAATAACACAAATATAGGACATTCCAAGCAGGTGTTTGCATACGCAAAGCATCATCATACATCAAGCATCAAACAACATCGAACACCATCTACTATGGTCTATACTAAGTTGAGGAAATGTGGGTGAATGTGTTTGAGTTGCAAGGATTTTTTAAGGACCTTTTTTATGAAACTTTTAAACGATTATTTTGAGAATGTTTCTAAATATGTATTCAGGATCCATCCATAAATTTGTCACGGATATATAGGCATGGATTTAAAACAATATCTGAGACTATCTATTCAAAGGCGAGGATTTTTTAAAAATATTTTTGGATGGATCATCCAAAGGCGTGGATTTTTTAAAAATATTTTTAGAAGGACCGTCCAAAGGGGTGGACTCTGAATAGGCGTGGATTTCTAAAAATATTTTTAGAAGGACCGTCCAAAGGCGTGGACCCTGAATAGGCGTGGATTTTTTAAAAATATTTTTAGAAGGACCGTCCAAAGGCCTGGACTCTGAATAGGCGTGGATTTTTTAAAAATATTTTTAGAAGGACCGTCCAAAGGCGTGGACTCTGAATAGGCGTGGATTTTTTAAAAATATTTTTAGAAGGACCGTCCAAAGGCGTGGACTCTGAATAGGCGTGGATTTTTTAAAAATATTTTTAGAAGGACCGTCCAAAGGCGTGAACTCTAAATAGGCGTGGATTTTTTAAAAATATTTTTAGAAGGACCGTCTAAAGGCGTGAACTCTAAATAGGCGTGGATTTTTTAAAAATATTTTTAGAAGGACCGTCTAAAGGCGTGGACTCTGAATAGGCGAGTATTTTTTAAAAATATTTTTAGAAGGACCGTCCAAAGGCGTGGACTCTGAATAGGCGTGGATTTTTTTTAAAATATTTTTAGAAGGACCGTCCAAAGGCGTGGACTCTGAATAGGCGTGGATTTTTTAAAAATATTTTTAGAAGGACCGTCCAAAGGCGTGGACTCTGAATAGGCGTGGATTTTTTAAAAATATTTTTAGAAGGACCGTCTAAAGGCGTGGACTCTGAATAGGCGTGGATTTTTTAAAAATATTTTTAGAAGGACCGTCCAAAGGCGTGGACTCTGAATAGGCGTGGATTTTTTAAAAATATTTTTAGAAGGACCGTCCAAAGGCGTGGACTCTGAATAGGCGTGGATTTTTTAAAAATATTTTTAGAAGGACCGTCCAAAGGCGTGGACTCTGAATAGGCGTGGATTTTTTTAAAATATTTTTAGAAGGACCGTCCAAAGGCGTGGACTCTGAATAGGCGTGGATTTTTTTAAAATATTTTTAGAAGGACCGTCCAAAGGCGTGGACTCTGAATAGGCGTGGATTTTTTTAAAATATTTTTAGAAGGACCGTCCAAAGGCGTGGACTCTGAATAGGCGTGGATTTTTTTAAAATATTTTTAGAAGGACCGTCCAAAGGCGTGGACTCTGAATAGGCGTGGATTTTTTAAAAATATTTTTAGAAGGACCGTCCAAAGGCGTGGACTCTGAATAGGCGTGGATTTTTTAAAAATATTTTTAGAAGGACCGTCCAAAGGCGTGGACTCTGAATAGGCGTGAATTTTTTAAAAATATTTTTAGAAGGACCGTCCAAAGGCATGGACTCTGAATAGGCGTGGATTTTTTTAAAATATTTTTAGAAGGACCGTCCAAAGGCGTGGACTCTGAATAGGCGTGAATTTTTTAAAAATATTTTTAGAAGGACCGTCCAAAGGCATGGACTCTGAATAGGCGTGGATTTTTTTAAAATATTTTTAGAAGGACCGTCCAAAGGCGTGGACTCTGAATAGGCGTGGATTTTTTAAAAATATCTTTGGAGGGACTTCCAAAAGCCTAGGATTTTTTAAAAATATCTTTGGATGGATTTTGGAGGGTTTATTTGTTTTGGGGACTATCAATTATTTACCGAATTACAAATTGACAAAACAAGTTTCATATTGAGGCCGTAATTTAAACACAAACACACACACATACATACACATGTATATAATTTTTTGTTTTACTAAACTAAACATAATGAAAAGAATCATTATATAAAAAGGACGTGCTATATTCTCTCTAGACATTTACATAAGGATAGTTTGTATCCAAACCTGGTACTTGTGTTGTTGATGATGAGCTTGTCGTAGTAGTGGTTGTGGTTAAGGTAGTCCTCATACCTGGCGTGCGTCTCGATGTATCTGTACAGGTGGCATACTCCTCGGTATTGGTATTTGTGCTACACTCTGAATTATCGAAACCCTTCAGATTGTCGGTCAGAGAGGATACACCCACCGAAATGTCGGATAGCCTGCAAATTTAGAAAAATACAAATAACATAGGGATTTATCAGAGATATTGGCATTAAAACCAACCTCCTTTGATCCTTTGCCGGTGAAATTGCCATATTCTTCCTTGGTGATGCCAATAAAGCCTTACCCGGATGCTTGACCGGAGATGCCTGCGTCTGCCCTATGATGGGCGTAATTTCTATGGATGGTGATATCAGTTTTGGTTGCGCTCCCCTTTCATAGGATTTCATTGCGGATTCTCGTTCATTTTGTGGTGTCGCCGGTGACCTAGACGATTTCATACTCACCGACCCCGTCTGACTATACGTAGGACTTTGATCGGTAAATTGCTCCTCGAAATCCAAAGCATCTGTATCCACCGAACTTCGTTGCTGATGTTGCAACAGCAAATGTTTTCGTTTTGTTGACGGCGTCAAGAGAAGATTCAAATTATACGAGGCCTCGGATCTTTGCTCTGCCATCAGCACGGTCACCTCCGATTCATTCCAATGACCATCCGAATGATCTCTTGTGACATCATTAGCCAATGAATCCGATGACGGATAGGTAGAAGCATGACCAATGGCCTCCTCGCGCAGTGGACTGGGCGGTGCGGAAATTCCTGAACCCTTCTCATCCCTCTCTTCTTGTTCTTGTTCGCTGTACTCGGCCTCCGGCACTGTGGCCGCAATGGCACAGCCACAGGCCTGTAAATTTTCATAAACAGGATCTTGTCGCGGATCCTGATCGCTACGATCACTCTCAGCTGATATGGAATCATAGGGTTCAGGAAGTTCCTTGGGCGGCAGTTTGGCGGCCTCCTGCTGTTGTTCGTGTTTCTTGAGGAATTTCCGTTTCAATGTCTTCGGCTGGAGATCGTTTTTAATGTAGGGCTTGAAATCGATAATAATCTCCTTTTCATCGGACATATCATCCCGGAAAGCTTTACGATTGAAGCGACGCGACCCCTTACCCACGTAATCCAAATCGACAAGTTTTTCCGTTTTCACATAGACGGGCATCGATTGACGTCGTATATCATCTCGCCGAAAGGGGCTATCATCGGGTGGTTCCATACTGATCAACATTGATTTGCGACGATTTGTGTCCTTATATTCCTTCGGGTATGTTTGGGTAATATCCAAGGAGTCATCATCATCTAGGCAATATTCCTGGGGTGGTGGCAGCAAATCGGATGTGAAGTCCGACGAACCATCAGCCATGAGCTCAGAACATTCGGTGATGTGTTTACAAACATCCTGGATATTGTTCATGTCACGACGTGGCAGACTATGGAAATCGGTGTCCAAGCGATAACCACAGGTCCGCCTTGGTAGGCTATTGCTTTCGTAGGAAAATGAATCCTCCTTTGACATGGAACTGAGATCTTTCTTCTGATAAATATACTTCTCATGATTCGTATCGTATTCCAGGGGAGGTGGTGGTTGATAATAGGGAAAACTACTTTCCAACGGGGACTTGGGTGGTTCCTCTGATTGCGTGCGATGTAGTAGCTCATGTTCAGCTTGAAAAGCCCCTCGCGTCTCTTCTTTCTTTTTACTCTCGTAGGGGATTTGTGAGAGACTCTTTGCCAAGGGTTTACCATTTGCCAGGCCATTAGTTTGAGCCCCCTGTGATACCACGCGTACTCGATGTATGGTTCGTGGACTTAATGCCAAACTCTGTTCGAATTCATTTTTCCTTACATCTGTCTGGGTGGCCTGGGTCTTCATGGCGTTGCGGAACTTTTTCTCCACCACAATAACCTCTGGACTGGGTGGTGGTAAATTTTGTAGAGGACATGTTGAGGTCATCTTCAGGTTACCCAACTCCTCTAAAATCGGGCGATTTGTTAGTACCGCCGCTGTGGGTTGCTGTGTCTGAACATGTTGTTCGGTTACATAGGCGGGCAAATATGTTGTGGGCTGCGCTTGCGGCTGGGGCTGGACCGGTATATGACCTGCCGGATAATGTTGATGTGTATGACCCAATTGGTGGACAGGAACTGATGCCGTTGGCAGCATATGTATTGTGGATGTAGATCCCATTATGGCAGTAATAGGTTGAGCGGGCGGTACACACACCGGCATCGTATCATAATAGGATCCACTGGGTCCCAAGGGTTTTTTACCACCAATTAGGCGTTCTTGTGACTGGGCCGATTTCATGCGACCCGATGAACGAAAGCCCACATTGAAGTCATCGAATGAGGTTAGGGTATGGGAACGGGCAAAGCTGACATGCTTTGTTCTGGAAGAGGGGGAAAGGAGATAATTATATAGACAATGAGTAGTTCGGAATTTATTTAATTCAGACCTTGGTGTATTTAGAGCACCAGCATGTTGTAATCCAGCACCAACTCCCATATGGGAAGGGCAGTGATATGAGCTAGAAGAAAATGCCATATTATTAAGAAGCCTACGAAACGATATATGAATTCCTAACCTTTTATCGTTGATATAACTGATATTATCATAATTCCCATATGCCGGATGCTGCGCTTGATGCATCTGATGCTGTTGTTGCTGCTGCTGCAGATGATGATGCTGTTGTTGCTGCTGGTGATGCTGTAATTGTTGTTGCAACTGATGCTGTTGTTGCTGTTGTTCCATCCATGCACTGTGCTGGCGATTATCTGTCGATGCATCCACCATTTTAGATGTACTTAATATCGATGCTGGTTGTCTACGAAAATAGGAACTTTCCATATCCATGTTATCAGCTGTTGATGTTGACGTCGACGATGTAGTCGTGGTGTTAGGAAATTGTTTGGTATAACGTGAATACTTGTAGAACGGGGTGTAGGGTGCTAAATTCTCATCCGACGGTACTCGTCGGCCAACACAACCGCCCAAAAACGACTGGGGTGTACTGCGACGACTAAGACAGCCAAAGAATCGTTCACGTCGCGATCGATCGATGGTATTCACTTGGCGATCTGTTAAACAATACTAAGGAAAGGAGATCAGTTAGTTAAAATAAATTATTGTATTGGCTATAATTTGTACCTGCTCTCTTATATCTCCTTTGGAATATTGCGATGGCCTGGGATATAATTCAGTTGATGAGGTGTGTCTCAGACGTCGGCGATACGTATTTTCATCTTCAGAATCATAATTACGATCAGATTGACTGGAACAAGTTGGTTTGGTATTTGTCGTAATTGTATCTATTGTACCCATTGAAACAGCATGGTGAAGACCTGCAAAACGATAAAAGAGGGGATATTTTAGTTATACGAGAATGCAATTTTTAGATATTAAAAGAAATTAAAATACATTTTAAATATCAGTGGAACCACTAAATTTACTGATTCTATTTGCAATATATGGAAATCTTCTCTAGAACGGAGTAAAATCCATAACCCCCCAAAATAATATGTGTATAAATTCACGTTCATAGCTCAAAAGTCGATCGATTTATCGCTAATATTCCTTCAGAAAATATTAAATATATATATATATATATATATGCCTGCATGTTAACATGGTCTAATCCGATAAGCTTTTGAAAAAATTCACATTCTGATATTCCTGCAGATCTTGGACTACTCCGATACACTCTTCTAAATATCTCCGTTCTGATATGCTCTGTACAAAATCCACTCTCTGGTAAAATTCCACTTCTGTTAGCCCTTGAGAAAATGTTTTTCAACAAATTTGGCTGCCCAGTTATGTTTTCAGAATTCATAAAAAATGATATTCGTCCTCAAATTGACCTCCTCTGACATGTCTTCCGAGATGTTGCTTTTCCGAAACTCCTAAAAATATTATTTAAAAAATCCACGCGCAGAAATATTCATTAAAAATCCACGTTTGTGGTTCTGATAGACGTGCAAAACTATTCTTTAAAACCCTAATCTTATGGTTCCGATAGTCCTGCAAAAATGTCTTATAAAATGTTCACGGTTGAAGTTCCGATATACGTAGAAAAAAATAAATTAAAAAATACACGCCATGGTCATTGATATCCCAGCAAAAATATTCTTTAAAAAATCAGCGTTTGTGTTTCCCACAGTCCCCGAAATTATTCTTCAAAATATCCCCGTTTGTGGTTCTGATAGCCCTTTAACAATTTTCTTTAGAAATACACGATGGCTGTTCAGACAGACCTGGGAAAATATTTTTAAAAAATCCCGTTTGTGTTTTGTTTAGCCCCCAAAAATATTCTTTAAAAAAACCCTGTTTGTGGCTCTGAAAGTTCTGCAAAAATAATGTTTAAAAAATTTTTTGCAGTGACTCCGATAGATCCTCAAAAAAAATTTGTTAAAAATTCCCTGTTAAAAATCCACGCTTGTGGTTCTGTTAGCTCTGCAAAAATATTCTTTAAAAAAGCCAAGCATTGGAAAAAAGCCAAGCATTGGAAAAAATTGTCTAAGCATTTTACGATTGGGGTATTGGTTGATCTTCAAAAACTGCTGGCGGATCTGGTAGCCCTGAAAAAATATTCTTTAAAAAATCCACAAATTATTTTCAGACAAATATCTAAACATTAAATTATAGATAGCGCTCGTTATAAACAGTATTGTTATACCCTACACAACTATGTTGTCAGGGTATTATAGCTTTGTGCAGCCCCAAAAGTTTGTAACGCCGCGAAATATTGGTCCTAGACCCACCTTTAAGCATACCGATCGTCATATCTCGACTAGCTGAGTCGATCAAGACATGTGTGTCCGTCCGTCCGTCCGTCCGTCCGTCTGTCGATTATAATTTGTAAACACGATACAGGCCACAGTTATGGACCAATCTTCACGAAATTTTGCATGTAGGATGGGTTCTGGCCAATGAAGACCCCTATTGTTTTTGGGAAAGATCGGTTAATATTTAAGGGATGAAATGGACCAAATACTAAATTTTTGTCCGTTTTTCTAGTCGCTCCAGAGGCCGCAATGATGGCCCGAACATCGTGAAATTTTGCATGGAGAAGGGGATCGGGCCAAAGAATAAGCATGCCTGTTTAGATAAAGATCGGTCAATATTTAGCGGGTCAAATGAACCCTGACTTCTGTGTGAAAAATTACAAAATTTGTATTATATAGCGTATATATTTACCCCTGAATGACATAGATCCGAAAAGTTGATATTATATCCAAGAGGAGTGGTTGACCTTTAAGTTAATACCAATTATATTGTTGTATGTGCTCGGATGTGGGAGTTACACCTAAATATTTACAGGTATCTCCGTATTCGTATATTATTTAGTAACCCATTATCACTCTGGAGCGCAGAACTATAGCGCTGATCGATTTGAAATGTTCCATAAGGTTCCAGTTATGATCAAGGACAACGCCTATAATTTTCGGTGTTGATCAGATAATAATTTTGGAATGAAGTGGACTATGTTGTCAGGGTATTATAGCTTTGTGCAGCTCCAAAAGTTTGTAACGCCGCGAAATGATGACAAAAGTATAACGAAAACAGGAAGACAAACGCACAAAGCTAATATATACAGTGAGTCGCAGTCATTATCTGGGAGTTGTGTTTGGGATCATTATCTTGATAAAATTAAAATGTTGTCCCTAATAAACTTTGTACAAAATTCCTGCCATAAATACGAGATTGCCTACTTCTGTAGCGATCATAATCCACGGCTTTATTCGCTCTGCACTTGGTCCATTCATCACCAAAAATAACAGATTTTCAAAATGCATACGAACGAACTCTTATCGGATTTTCCTCTTTGGGGTTGATTAATGGCTTTTTCAGTACAACTCCACTATGAAGATAATCCTTAAGCAATACTTCAAAAATGACCATAGTATGCTAAGTCTGAAAAGTGAGTTTTTCAGTAGAAGTTTTCAAAGTATGGAAGTTCCTTGAATCTTACGTGCCATGCTAAGTAAATTTTTGCTTATAACTTTGGTTTGGATTGGCCGATTAATGCCAAAATTTCAGTGAATTTAAATTAAGGACCGTAGTATCTAAAAACGTGAAGAACTTTAAAACATGCTAAGTCGACTTAGCATACTATGGTTCGGAGGCGTCGACTTAATGTTTTGATATTCCTTCAGAGAGAAAAAATCGAAACTAAATATAGATGGCGCTGAACTTTTCAAAGGAAAATATTCGATAATAAGTTGTGCGTTTTTAGCGCCCAAAAGTATGCCACACATGTTTTCTGTTTAATGTCATTGTATTCGCACTGTGTTGTCTTAATTAGATTCCGACTGACAGATTTTATTACTTCATGGCGGACCCTTATTACAATAATTAAAATAAAATGCGAAGTGTAGATGTCGCACCTTATTAACAAAATAAAGTTTCAGCTTGATCTCAAATCCTTTCAAGGAAAAAATTACATATTTACATTTTAATTCCAATTAATTAACAATTCCTAATTTCAAAATCAATTCTACATTTATTATTTTGGTATTTTAGTGCTCTAACATAAGCCAAATTATCTTCACTTAGTTAAGTGTTTCTTTTTAAATTCTAATCGTATTCCACCATACATCGATTTTTTCAATACTTCAGAAAATATTCCTTAAAAAATTCTCGCTCTAATAATATTTTTGATACTTTTAAAGACACAATGTATTTAAAAGCATAATCTTTCAAAAATCCACACTTAAGACTTTAATATTCCTCCATGGAAAACAAATATCTTTATAAAATTTTCTTAAAATAATCGAAACCAAATATAGATAGCGCCGTATTTTTCAAAGAAGATTTTCTATAATTATTTATTTGTTTTTGGCGCCCAAAGGTATGCATCATATGTTTTCTTTTTTACTCATAAATATCTCTGAAAATATAGCTTAGATGTCGCCTACTATATACTCCTTCAGTGTTGTTTTAATTAGATTCCTATTTGATAAATTCATTTTCACAGTGTACATCTCTATTAGACTCTTGGAAATACAAATTTAAGTATAGATGTCGCTCATGCTATAAAAAGTGTTTCTACTTGATCTCAAATCCTTTAATTTAATTCTAATTAAATAAATTCTAATTTCAAAATCTTTTCTACAATTATTTTTGAAAAATATACATCTTTATAAAATATTCTTTAAAAATCAAAACAAAATATAGATAGCGCTGTACTTTTTTAAAGAATATCTCTTATAAATATTTATTTGTTTTTGGCGTTCAAAGGTATGTTCCAAGTATTTTGTATTTAATATCATTGAAAATATAGATTAGATTCCAATTGACTAGATAATTTTCCTCAAGGTGGAATCTTATTAGATTCTTTGAAATTAAAAATGAAGCATAGATGTCGCTCATTACATAACAAGTGTTTCTATTGAATCACAAATGTGTTCAAAGAAAATAAAATCTTCTTCTAATTTAATTCTAATTGAATAATTTCTAATTTCCAAATCCTTTCTACAATTATTTTGACCTTCTAACATAACCCATCTTCACCCATTTAAGTGTTTCTAATTAAATTCAAATGATATTCCACCATTTGCCGCCTTCTTTTTTTCGACAGTCCTTGTCCTTCAAATGCCTAAACAGCAGCACATATTCAAAATCCAAATAAACAAATGTCAAAAATAACCTGATTTTCAATGTTGTTGTCATCGTCAGCGACGAGGACGACAACGTCGACAAACTAATGACACTGTTATTTTCAATGGGACCCTCAGCTGACAGCCTTTACGTTATGTAATTCGAATGCTTTGCAATGAAAGTAAAGCAGCCTTTGCAGTTTTAGGTTTATACCGGCACCGTGTCTGTCTGTAAAGGATATGAACATGGAAATGGAGAATTTATTGAGTTCTCTAAACCAAAAAAAAAACCATCTGTAAGTATTTCGTTCTACAACAGAGGTGGCCCAAAAAAAAGACACAAATATAATTCCACGAGAAAAAAATAATGTCGTTCTTATTTTTTGCTTAGGTGACTTTTTGCTACAGTTAGGCACAGGGGAGGGAAGGCAGACACGGAAACCAAGCATTTTAATTTCAATATTAAACAAAATTAAGCTCTTTTGAAGGCATATCGTTGGCACTTTGAAAGACAGACAAGCACACACACACACACACCATGACACATATACTTTTACATGGAAAATGTAAACTGGTACAACTCGGTCGGATGGCTGGCTGGCATAGATGATTTTCCTGGTAATGGTGCTGCGGATCTTTTTGCTGTGTCGTCATTTTACTTTTGAATTTTTGGTGTTGACAATATTTTAGAAAAGACCCAAATAAACACACGCACACATACACCCAGTGACAACGTGACATGACGA